GGTGTTGGCCCCGTCTCGGGCACCTCCCAAATTAGTGGTGCAAATCTTAGCGGCCGGATCCAGAACCGAGATGGAAGAAGCCGTGAGTGGGAATTGCCAGTTGCACCGTCGTCTGAGGAAGGAGGCCTATTGGACTATTTTCTCTCTACCAAACAACTTATCTGCTCGGTGCTCGAACCTAGGATGGAAGTGAATGTTTTGTATCGGAGACCCTACCCCGCGATATTACCAGTAAAGTTGCCCAGTGGGAGTTAGGGATTCGAATACTTCTATGCTGTTGCTCCTTCCTAAGGTCGGGTGTCGTAGGTACCGCCTACCTAAGCGGTACATACCGGAGACTAGACGCCGCCTACTCCCAACTGGCCTTTTGCAGGAAGGTGGCCCCAACCCACCGATACTCGGTACCGCCAGCTCTTCTTCTGACAACTTTGGCTGGAACTTACCACGACCCCATTCAATTTCCATCCGACACGATATTCCATCGAGCCCACCGGCAAATCATTCAACAATTCACCCTTCCGCCAGCCCCGAAACACGGGCTAGCATTGCATGAAGATGGCAAAACCCTTAAAGATCACAGACAGAGGCACCTTCCATCGCCGCTTCTGTTTGCTGCTAGCATGGCAGCATGGCGTGGACTCCAAAGACCCGAGCTATGTCTGGGTGGTTATCAACTCATCAATTCTAGCTCGAATTTCCACCCCGTATGCGCCCAGAAAAGACGCCACGGAACCTCTACACGATGAATCAAGCATCCCGCGAAATCTCCACCGCATGTCAGTGTCGCGCCCGTTTCCTAGTGTCGCTAGGCCGATTGCTTTTGTGGTTGCTCCGGATGTCGTTCGTCCGGGGATGCCGGCTGCTACCCGGTTTTCGCCCGATACAAACGTACCTGAATTGCATCGTTAGCTATATCGCCCCAGAGCACACGAACCGCCAATACAAGCAAGGGTGGTTGGATCTCTTACACTGGGAAATAAGCCTGGACATGTTCCACGACGGGTCAGCAACTCTCCAATGCAGCAAACGGAAGAGACGACGGCACCGCCTAAGAGGACGTGGCCGGCCGCGGGGGTCATTGATGCTACACAGCGCGCCATACCTTGAATGCCGGGTTGTCGGCTTCACTGCGCGCCTGCGCTATGAGAAGCTGGATGTCCGCATTCGTCATACTGATCATCCAACATTAGTCTCCAAGGCCCTTGGGTTACTCCATGGCCTCGTCACTTACTTCAGGGCGTGCGAAAAGGGGAATGCGGAAAGCGATGACATGAGCCGATGTACGTTTGCTTGATTCGCCATGCCGATGGCGTTGTCTCGAGGATCTGGGGGGTTGTTAGACAAGGGCTTGCGTCAACCGCTCTGCGTCTGGACCCCGCACCTGTCGACCATCCGCTCAGGGGTAAAGTCAACAATCGGGACTCGACCTCGACAAATCCCGCTTGCGTCATCCAGTTTTGAAGCCTCAACGGCGCTCTGGGGTCCTTTGCCGGTTGTATGCTTTGCATATAATTCTGCGACCACACCTGAAGAGCATGGTCTGGCCGTCACGTCAGCGATTATCAGGGCACAACAACACCCCGATGGCCACTCACTTGATGTAAGCGTCCCATTGTCCGATTGTGCGTTGAAGTATATCTCCACCATTTGACACCAGCCTCCTGGGCGAAGGACGCGCAGTATGTCGCTCAGGTAATTCATCCACCTGTTCGCATGGATCCCCCCAGCCATCATCCGGCTGTGTACTAGGTCGAAATAGTTGGACGGAAAGGTGGACCTGGCTTCACGTCAACTATGCGAAGCCCATGGCCGCTGGATTCGGTTTTTCTTACGGGCTGTTGAGGTCGTCAACTTGGAAATCTAGGTTTGGCGGGATATCTTCCGGTACCGGGTATGGATACACGTCGATTCCGATGACCTGGTACGGAGGCGAAATCAGCATGGACGACACCAACCGGGGCTTCACGGGTTATGTGTTGGACACCACTTCTGATTCCTCGGCCATGGATGACCACACTCCTCGCCTGCCCCGTTATTAAACCCTCGTTGAATTGGCAGGCGTGCTAACATGGTGATTGGAAATAGGTAGTCGACCCTCGACGCGTTCTCGAGTCCGCCGTCGCGCCCTTACTAGGAGGACGAGAGCAACACCAACCGGGGTGATTTCACCCACCTCGCATTCAGGATACTGTTCGGCAACCTCCATGGCCCACGCACCGGATCCCGACCCACACTCCAAAATTCGCCTCGGCCGCGGGACTGGTGGGAATATGAGCCTGTTGTCAAACATCATGTTGAAGATCCCATGCATGTATTGGAGGCGATCGATCTCGTCCTGCTCGACCACAACACAGTGAGCAGGTGAGGCACCGACGAACCACACAAGGTACCATTGCTCACATCGTCCACAGGGGCAAAGTATATCCCGTGTTCCAACGCGTACCGCTGGAACTCCCTGTTGCCGTGGACAACAACCTCCCGATAGGTGTTGTCGACAGGCACGGTTTGGGAATCACTATGTCCAGTTCAGTCATGGGCTCTGCACGAATGTGGAGGCATGGCCCAAGCCGCGGATTACACACCCTTCGTTCATGGTTGCAGCAACTCGAATCTGACGTCCCTATTCTGGCGACGCGGCAAATATTGAAGACAGAAGACAACAGGTGCAGAGAACGATGGGTGGGAAAATGCAGTTCCAAGTGGCTCAAGTGGGGAGGGCCAAAAACCCGGGTCAGGCATCATGAGGACTTACATGGCCTTATGCGGGTTTGGGAGGGTGAGCGGAGATACTTCAAGACCCCTTGCTCCCCGGGACGGGCTTCTCAAGGATGGCGTCGGACCAAGTACCTCTTCCTATGCGCTGCGGCACTCCCACGTTTGAAATGAGCAACGCTCGCTTGGTGGGCCCGGGTCCCGTGCTAAAACATTCAGATTGGCCCGACAGAGCGGTTTGCGCGCCACGATGATTTTGTCGATCGGAGGGCATTGCTGGCGCACTACCATTCAAGTCTCTGGGAAAAGGGCCGTCCCGGGACCCCTGTCCTTGATTTGACCGTTCGAGAGAAGCGGGCGGAAATACCACTGCTTGAACCAGTGGCGGCACCTCGGGATTTGGGGAATACTACACCGCTTTGGCCAGGACGACCAGCCGTTGACTACGTGTACGGACGGCTTCCCCGTGGGTGGCGCCTTTCAAACCATGTTTCTGCGTAGGTGTCCGGCCTGCTGGGAGCCCGGAAGTCCCCCGCATCCACTAGGGCCCTCTGCTGATCGAGACGGACAAGCCTGTGACATTACACCCTGCCGGTGGTCAAGCGGCCGCCTCTAGCTCCGGTTGAAATCCGCAGATATTACTCTGTGATTGGAGAGATCTTGCGAGTACTTGGCTGGCAGTTGGACGTGTTCCATCGCCAGGGAAGACCCGGGGACTAAGACACTCTTAGCCTGATGCAGCGCCCAGAACCGACGGCCGGGACAATAGGCCATCGTGCCCTTGGGGCTGTTTTGCGGGTCGGCTTTGTTTCCTTCAGCGGGCACACCACCACGCCTATCAACCCACTCAACACGGGAGATGGTCCGGCACGCGGCTCTGGTTGGGTTAATTAGCCCGTCAGGCATGTCATCTAACGTTGGGTTCGTTAAGAAAGCTCGCATATTGGCACGCTATTCGGGACTCGAGAATCAAACGGACAGTCAAACCCGGTCGCTGGAGACTGGGAATATTTCCGCCAGACTTGGCAAGGGCGACCATTTATGTCTCGGCGGCAACCTTTAGGTGCCATCTCCTATCCTCCTGTACAACGAACGCCATCTGCGTCTCCCGCCGGCTGTTGTACATACAGATCGGACGTTGAGGAGGGACAGCGTTATGTTGCGCCTGGGACCTCTTGTACGCAAGACACCCTGTCGAACAAGCCTTCCAAGGCGTGCCCGGTGAATCCGAGGACACGGTCCTGGGATCGCACGGAAGGTCAAGCCCACCGCCGCCGCAGTGTCCGGTGGAACGGTGCTGCCAGGGGTCGTTTAGGCGGGATTCTGAAGGGACCATCATGGAAGGATTTTTTTTTTTTGCAGAACCCCCGCTGCTTGCCCACCGCTTGCGGGCACTAACATCCCGCTGCTGCAGGACATCAACCTATCTGCCGTACCCTGGTCGGATGTCCCATTGCTCGACCACCTCCCCTTTCCGGTTTGGCCGTTTTGCCGACGATATGAGCTTGCAACCAGGTGCGTGGGAATACAGATACGTGTTCTCCTTCTCGGGAACCTGGGCAATTGTTTGATCGAGGGCAAAAAGGCATTGCACTGGGAGTGAGAACCCCGATGGAGAGGCCTGGGGACCCTAGAGCACATTGGCTGATGTCTGTCCCAGAAGTGCCAACCGGCCCGAAAATGCAGGGGTTAGCGGTACGTACCCCTCCCAGCAGCTTGGGGACGACGCCTCATGTCTTGTCGGCTCCCGCCCGGTTGGTAAATTGCCCGCGCCCACCTGTGCCCATACCACACCAACGGGTCGAGCGGTGTCCTGGACATGGTTTCGCCATGGGGGTCCGGCTTGCGAAATGAATCGGCCACACTGAAACGGTCTCCGGCTTTCGACAGTGGATCTGCGCGGTAATCCCCGTGACCGAGTCGGGTGAGATGCTGACGGGAACCGGGCATGACGAGATCCCGAGGACGAAACGTCGGTGTACCTTTTTGCGGCTAAAATTCAGCCAGGCATGATCGTCTGATGAGAGCTGTTGCAGAGGTAACGTCGTTCTGCCCGTCTTTAGGCATCATCACAAGAGGCCGTCAGGAGCCCCTGCATCGTGCAGCGTCATGAAATAAGGAAAAGGCGGGCACGAATCCAAAGAGCTCGCGAGGTAACGATGGCATGCAACCGAGGTTGTGCACGCGAGAGGACGTGTCAGGAACGAGGCTGGCATTATCCTCAACGCAGTAGCCATCATCCTTGCAGGCGCCACTTGGATTCCCGAGCACTGGGATCGAGTTTCAGGTGAATCATTTGCGGCTATCCCGGGAAAGACGTTCCCATCATTTCCAACTCGGGATCAGCAGAAGAGCAGTACTTCGTCTGTACTGTGTACACTACTTCGTACTCAGACCAAGGACAGAAACGAGCTTCCCAACAATAACATCCGCAACCCAGCAGGATCATCAGCCGGGAAGCCTGCCTGGCCAATTTCGGCTCGTCGCGAACGCTGCACGTCAGTCTCGGGGCCCAAATCAACCAAGTTCCAGCAGTATTGCGAAAGTCCATGCACAAGGACCACTGGGCTTCCCAAGACGCGTGGTTGGCGGGTGAGCAAGGGGATTGAGCCATGGTGCAGGGGTTACTTCCTGCGCAATCGACCGGGGTCCCTCCTAGCCGTCAACCACCGCCTCGGGTCGGTGGGCGATTATCTTTTTTTGCAGCCCGTCCCAACGGCCCCAGCCTTTTTCGAACTCGTGTGACCGCCACAACCTGCAAGCGGCCTTTTCTGGCCGTGGTGGGCTTACCGGATTTCAATGAAGAGCAATGCGAGCGCCAGAAATGCCGGCCCCTGAAGGACGGTTATGTTTCCTCTCCGGGACGACGCCGTGTTCCCCGAGACGGCACCTGCCCCGCGGGTGTTGAGCTCGGGGCCCCGAGGGGCACATGTCGCTTTCGCAACGCCGAGATACACGATGAAATACCGACTTGTGTTACCCATTACTAATGAAAGACAACTCCAAACCCCCACCAACGGACCGTAATCTCCTTCCGGCTTCGCCCATTTTTTTTTTCTTTTCCCTTTCGAACCTCAGCCCCCGAGGCCGTCCCAGGCGGCCGGGTTCGTGCAACCTTGTCAGATCACCCCTCCTTTTCGGCGACCTCTCCCGAACCCACCGGTCTTGGCGTGCTTTTTCTCGGTCAGAAGTCCATCAAAACGGGTTCCTCGGGTTTGTGGATACCGTTTTAGCGTTGGAGCGAGAAAAGAAATCTGGCATCCTGACGGAAGCGTGGGCATCCGATCACGGCCACCTTGCCTTGGTCGACTCATCTGACTCCTCAACCCTTTGTCAATACCCTCCTCAGGCGTTCTCGCACGCCTTGATCACTGACCCCGCGGGGTAGAGGCACGGAATAGTTGCGCGAAGTGGGTATCGGAGGGTCGGTTCCTGCAAAGGATGCATATGCGACTCACCAACGCGGAGGGGGGCTCGCGCGGTGTGGCTTGCATATTCACACAGCTATCGGTTTTCGTTCGGGCCCACCCTGTGTCTACCGGCGTCAGTGAATCTGAGAGGCCGGGCAGCCGTCCACCCAAGGTTCCTTGTCTCCTGCAGGCACGAAGAGAGAGCCTGGTATTGGGGTGTGATCGCGGGGGCTAAGAGAGAGAATGATATGGGACGGCGATGTCGATTATCATGCTCGGGAAGCGTAAGCGAGGGGTTCATTGGCTCTTGCGTGCTCGTTTCGTCGATGGCCCCTTCTACCGGCCCGTGGTGTCGGTAATAATATACGGGTTCCGCTTCGCCGTAGCTGTCCCTCCTCTCCTGCATACCTGCGGTATTTTACTTCGGGGTCGGTCTCTTATGCTTCTTCATGCCACGTAGGTACTTGGCAATGGAGACCTTTAATCAACATTAGCCACACCACCGAGTGACGACGAAGAGTACTACGCTCAACCAACACCAACACCTGTGCCGTACCATCCGATGCACCATCATCGTCTTTACTTCGTCCTCTGCTTTTTTGGCCCCTCTCTCGGTGGCTTCATTGCCAGCTCACTCTGCAGACCTGGTGTCTATCACCCGTGACACCTTCCGCCTCCGGCTGAGCCGCTCTCACCTCACCCGCTAGTAGTCGGGGAAGGGGTAAAAAAAAAAAAGCAAAGTTGTCTAGCTGAACCCTGGGAACAACGCCAAGCGCCTGTCCGCATAATCGCTGTCTCACTCATCCCCAATATCTTTGTGGTGGCGCATATTGTTGTTCCTGTAGAGGACCCATCCGCTGCTGCATATGCGTAGGCGTATTGTATTCGTGCGTTGGGGGCGTGCGTGCCCAAGCTATCTATCGCCCCAGATGGTGTAATCTCCGTTTGCGTCTCCTCCCCTCCCATGCGCGCGTCCTCCTTCCTCCGTCTGCTGTCTGCTGTCTGCTGTCTGGATGTCTGAGTCGGTGGGGTCAGAGGGGGGGTTGGGGTTGGGCTGGAAACACCCTTCCCTCCTCCGAAACATAACGGGCCGTGCTAGCCAACGAGACGGCTCACTCACTCACTCACTTCCCTGGATATGGTGTAGAGGTAAAAGAGAAGGATGGGGGGGCCGACGAGTTGTCGGAGGTTGCGTGAGTGGGCTGGGGGAGGCTCTACGAATCATGGGTACTTCGTTACTTCGTACTTTGTGTAACTAAATAAGCCTTCGTTCGGCCTTTTCCCCTAGGTGGTTGATTGGCCTGGTAATTCATTGTCTTTTCTTTTCTTTTCGCTTTCGGTTCGCCGGCCGGTTGGCGGGCGTTGTAGATCTGTGCTGCTCATTGTAATCTGATCTAGCCCCGGCTTTTTGGGGGGTTGTTGCCCTTTGTTGTTCTGTTTCGTTTTACTTTTTGTTGTAGTTTCTGTTCAACCCTCTCTCGGAAGATCCCCACAAGAGAGAGAGAGAGAGAGAGAGAAAGCTTGTGATGTGAGTGAGTTGATGTCAAGGATGGGGTATGTTGGGCACTATGTCCTTGTCATAATCGCTTTTCCGGAGGGGTTGTTTTCTACATGAAGCCTCTCTTTTGGATCCGGTAGGGCAAGTTAGAGCTGATCATCCATTCTGTTTCGTGCGGGGGTTGATAGAAACATGAAGGAAGATAAACCTAGAGGAAGGTAGGAAGAGGGACAGAAATGCTGGTCGTTGCGTAAGGAACGGCTAGCTTCCTAGTAGCTCAAGAAGATGGGACACGAGTCAACGACCTCAAAAAAACCCAGTAAAGAAGGCAAACCAGGTTCTACACAACCAAACCACTTTATTTCTATTCCGATGGTTATCCCCTCTCCCACCCACCGATATATGCCTGGCGCCGTTACACAGTACAATACACACAACCCCCCACCGCTGCGTCGAACCACAAACCACAAACCATGTCCAACGTCGCATTCCCCACTAACCAGGCGGAGCTCAAGACAGCATAAGGCATAAAGCAGATCAACACCAGGTGAAGACGGGATTCCGCCCCTTGATCATCTCCAACCGCTCCACAATCACCTTCCTCTGGTTCCCCTCCATGCCCGTCGCGGCCGCATACCCCAGGTCGCCGCCCTCCAGATCCTCATCCTCCTCCCTGTACTCCACAAAATTTTGAGGATCGCCGTGGTCTAGGCTCAGCCGTCCGTTATTGCCACCGTTGCTGTAGAGTTGCGAAGCAAGCGAGTTGCTCTCTCTCCTGGCGGCGGCGGTGGTGGTGAAGGAGAAGCGGGTTTGGTGGTCTGCGCCCGCGCCGCGGTCGGGGGAGTAGACGTTCAGCGACCTGTGGCTGTTGGCGGCGCGGGGGAATTGCGGGCGGGTTGGTTTCCCGTTGCTGTTGTTGCTGCTACGGTCCCCCAACGTGGCGCCATTGCTTGACAGGCCCGGAGACGGGAGGTCGTCCTGCAGCGCCAGCTCGAATCGACCCGGGTGTGGTAGGTTAGCAGGCGGGCTGGTGACGGTGATACCGAGAAGGTCACCGACAGGGCCGGCGCCGGATGTGGTGGGGGCAGACGCTGCGTGGGCACCGGAGCTACCGGCGGCGCCAATGTCCATCTCCTCCTCGCTGATGATGTCGCTGCTAGCCTTAGAGTGGGCTGTAGCGGTCGCCGACAGGGCGGCAGGGTCGGACTCGGCGTTGGCGCGGCGGCGCATTTCGGCACTCGCAACACGCATGGGCACGGCGACCGGGACGTCAACGAGGTCGTCCCAGACGCAGACTTTGGCGCGGCGGGTGAGCTCAAGTGGTCCATGGTCGGGCGTCTTGAGCGTTTCGACGACGTTCCAGGCCTGGCCTTTCATGACGGCTATTTGGCGGGCGAACATGCGCTCTTGAAAGTCGTTGTCCATCTGGAAGACGCGGCGGAGGGCCAGCTGGGTCTGGCTCCACCATTGCGTGGATGTAAGAAGCGGGAGGAAGTGGTCCCGGGTTTTCTGGGAGAAAGGCCGGCCGATGAGATCGACAGGAAGGAAGAGCCAACCAAAGGGGAAGCTGGGGACTGTTAGAGGTTTGTTACTTGTTTTGGTATTATGAGATGTGCTCACCTTCTCCAAGCATCAGGGTGCTTCCAAGGCCATGACAGGGAGTTGTCAATAGCCCCCAATGAGATCTTGGGATCCGGCGTGGCCGACACTGGCGTTGATGCGTTCATAGGCCGCTCAACGCGGTAAGGGTATGACGCTCTCGTTTTCGGCGGCTCCCTCTGGGACAGGTCGACAGGCCTCGGCCCCGGTTCCGGATCCGACGTATCCATATTGAGGTGCACGGGTTCCGACGCCACCGAGACCTGCTCGGTCTCCCAATCGACCTTGATCATCCAGTTATCCAACCCTCTATCCGTGTTCCGCATAATGTAGTCCAAGATGACGAGCTTTTCGAGCTCCTCCCTGAAGGCCTGTTTCAGAGTCGGTGTCCAGACGAAATTGCCGGGGCCTGGCGTTTGCGACTGCGGGCTGTCGTTGCCATCATCGCTATCCCCGTCGTTGTGCGCGCTACCCGGACGGCAGTTGTCGGCCCATCGCCGCTTTCGTTTCCTGTGAGGATCTGTTGTCCGGAAACCCGAGAGATACTGGTCTGGCCATGGGTGTTCGCGCAAGAAGATGTTTGCATCTTTGAAGCCCTTGAGGAAGACTTGGAAGCTGCCCGGTTTAGAGGGTAACGGCTTCCTTTTCCTAGAGAAGGCGTACCGGTCCCAAAAGGGGTAGTGGAACGACTTGGAGGAGAGGTAGACGACATCTGTGTACGGGACGAGGTGTGTGCGTAGTTGCGCGTCGAGGACGTACGCGGCGGCTTCGCTAACGTACGAAAGGTTGGGGATGAGACTAGGGGATGAGTTAGCGTTGCGACAGCTCGTTCCGGAAACATGTTAGTTAGAGTTAACAAACCAAGCTCTGCCGAAGAAGCATGGGAACAAGTTCCGATGAATCCACTTATTCCATTTCGGGTTGCCAGCCGCATAGGGCTCCTCGTCCTTGGGTTTGAAAACGCCCACCACTTTCCCGTCGGGATTCCTCGCAAAGTAGCTACCAGAGCTCCCCTGGGAAATCATACGGGGATGTACACCTTGCCGTATGGCGGACCTGACGCTGTCGACGATGACCTCGAATTCGGCCTTGGTCATGTAACCGGGCTCCGGGACGGCCAGCATTTCGGCTGTCACAGGCCGGACGCCCTCCGGAGGCTGGAAGACGGAGTGGTGTATCTCGAGACGCTCCTCCTCGCCCTTCTTCTTGTGTCGGCCGCGCTTAAACTTGGAGGCAATCTCATCGGCCCAACGCTCGAGACGGGCATTGATAGCCTTCAGGTCGACGCCCGAGTTCCTCCGGCCACGGCGACGGTGACGGCCCCCAGACCGGGATGTATCACGGAAACCGGCTGATTCTGAGTATTTCGGAGTGGCCATGCCCGAGTGCGGGCGGGGCTGGCCGATGGGAGCATAACGTGGGGCGGTTGGCGGTTGCAGCGAGGCATAGCTGGCGGCGAGCGGGTCGTCGTCCGAGTCGTCGCTAACGTCGGCCTGCGCAAGGCGCTCGTATCCGGTGGTCGCGGGCCGTGGCATTTTGGATTTGATGCTTTCGGGTTCCGATGTGGGTGATGATGGATGTTGAAAATCTCTTTGCAAAGACGGGATGGTTATGCCATGGATGGCCGATGGAAGCAAAAGGGGCAGCAGGGGCAGCAGCTATTAACACAAGGGTAGAAGTAACAAAATATTATTAATACGAAGATAGGAATCAAAATACTAGGTTCAGTATCTGGCAGTATAGAATTGGCATCGACAGAGACACCGCAGCCGTTCGGTCTGCAAGGACACAGTGGTTTGGAGAAATGTTGTCAAATGTCAATTGCAACTCGACACCAGGTCGCCAATGACGGCAGCAGAGACAATGTTAGGTTAGTACGAAGTTGAGGTGACGAGTCCAGCAGCAGCTGCAAGTGTGTGTGAGTGGGGCGACACTTTCGCTTTCCGGGGCTCGGCCACACCCGTCCGGCGGAGAGCACAGTAGATATTAATTTAAAGACTGGCCTAAACGCACGGTGCCGCCCATTGCCGAAGGGTCCAACCATGAAACAAGGAAAACCCTCTCCAGAACACTGCTCATCAGACATCGTCAACAACATGGCGTTGCCCTGAACATGGGATTTTTCAGACTTTTCCATTAAAAAATGACCGGCGCTCTGCTGTGCCGGCAGATCCCCATCACTCCCATGTGGAAAAGCCCCGGCATCGGGTGACAGACCCCTGTACGGCCCTGGAAGTCGGAGTTCGTCTCCCAATCGGGTGCCTCAGCAAGTGCCTCAGGGTCCGAACAGGGTCCAGTGCAGAAGGCCGCAGCCTCGTGCCTCATCCTCAATGGTCTGGCACAGCCGGCACAGCCAGCCAGGTAGCCAGGTAGCCAACAGACAGTCAGCAACGAAGGAACTTCTCGGAACCGGCAGAGGAGGTATTATGAATCCCCTCCCGCCTAGGACAAGTGTCCTACCACCTGTCACTTTCATCAACGCTGCCCATCCTCACACCGCAGCGAGACTTCTTCCTCCACCACGAGAAAAAGAAACACAGCGAGAGCACGGGCAGAGTCTGTCCTGCCCTCAGCCTCACTTTTCTTCATCCTCACACCGACTTTGTAATGGTGAAACAGTATCTCGTCTCCCAACATCTTTGTTCACCCACCAACTGCCATCCTTGAAGGATATATCTTGAACAGGCCATTTGCCCCTGTAAAATAAATATATATTCACTTGTTTTTTCCCTCCACGGCCCTTATATTTCCCAGGCCATCTTAGCCTTTCTCCCTCCACCCCGGCCGATCACCCATACCAGCAGCCCACACCGCTGTTCCAGAGTACGGGTACCATAACCGCGCACTCCCCCCCGAGCATCCATCCATTGGTAGTCACAGGCCCTCCCAACAACAAGGAGAAACCTGAGAACGAGACCCAACAACCCCAGAAAACCAACCCCCGAAACCCACCAACACCAACCCCAACCCAACCCAAACAAAACCAACCAAACCAACCGCCAAAGAAAAAAAAAAAAAAAAGCAGGATGACACGCCAATACTTCTGCTGGAAAGTCAGCCTCTCCTTCCGCTGCGGCTGCACCGAGCTGGCCCCCATCGTCCACCGCTGCCCGCCCGACCGCGAAGGCTGCAACAGCTGGCTGACCCACAAGCGCACCGACAAGTACTGCGAGACGCACCGCGCCAGCTGGGGGCTCGCCCAGTCTTCCGACGGCGGTTCTCGCTCTCCTTCTCCCTCTCCTTCTCCTTTCACTGGGCTGTCTGGGTCGGCTTGGGAGGGGGGTGAGGGTTTGAGTGTGGGTGTGAGTGCTGGTCAGGGTCAGGGTCAGGGTCAGGGTGAGGGTGAGGATGGGTTGAGGAGGCGGGGCAGTCCGGTCGCTGAGGGCGTTGATGGCGGCGAGGCGGGGGCTGCGGTTTCCGGGAGGAGGGTTGTTGGGTATTACTAGGGGAAAGGATGGCGGGATGGTTATGGGACGTACAACACAGTCCGGGGGTGTAAGGGCGACTTCGAAGTTGATCCCCACCTGTGGTACATACATATATACCAAGGATGGGCTGGGATGGGACGACAATAATGCGTGGAATGATGAAGGAAATGCTACCTTTACGACAGGGCATTGGGTCTTCCAAAGACGGAGGGGGGTGCTGACCCTAACGGAGGCGGCGCCGCGGGAGGAAAAGATATACTAATGGCGGGAGAAACTGGATTACGGGGAAGGGCCCGCCAGCTATTGCCCGCATACCACACCAAGACCACAACTCGGATACAACCACGGTATCACTCTAGACGCAGCCTGGAGAGACCCGCACTACGATTAGAATGGCACGATCCGCTCCTTTCAGACTGCACGCTATAATACAACTCAATTCTTCTCCTAGATGGATAATATCTGCCGAGTTACTCCCTTCTCTTGCCGATAACTAACGCCGTGCATGCCGATGTCAACGACGATATTGCCCGTGTCCATACCCGCTGAGTAATTTAAGAGTAATCAGTACCGCATTCTGCGGAGTACGCAAGAACAAAACCACACGGCCCCCCGTGAAGGTAAGAAAAAAAAAAAAGAAAACGGGCCATAAAATACAGTGCCTGAGCCTGCTCACCCGTCCCTGAGATCCCTTTGCGCAAGCCATGGAAAAGAGCCGCGGCCTCGTCCATCTTTTCTCTAAGCCTCGTTGCGCCCAAGCAACCCTTGACCAACCTATGCCCTTCCTACATCGAAGAGTGCCTCCTCAACTTTTTTCCCCCCATTAATCCCAACTTCGTAAACAGACTCTGTTCATCTCCCGACATTAACATTAGTTAGTAAAGCCGCTGCAAACATTTGGTATGCGCTCCGATCCCGTGCGCCTTTCTCCGACTCCCAAGGAAGGTATCGAATACCGCATCCATAACCCATGACTGCCGTCCAATTGAACGCCAAAAAAACAAAACGAGAAAAGGGGTCACCAAAACCGAAATAGAGAGAAGGTCATGCAGACGAGACGTCCCCTAAATGAACCATATATATACCCGACGAGGCCAACATGAAACGAGTGCAACATAGAGAGGTAATAACGACCTGCTTGACTCGACACCGACAATTCGATCGCTAGGGCTGCGCCTGAGAGAGAAATAAAACGACTCAGAGCTGCCAAGAAACCGTCTTCTGTTTGTTCTTTTGACTCGCGAAAGACAGCGACGACCGGGGTCGAGGTGGACCGTCCCGGGTGGGCGACGGAGTATCATTGTTGGCTTGTCTGTCGTGGAGAATGTCGTGGACTTGGGAAGAGTTGTGACGGTGCAGTCCTGGAGTCAGGGCGGGCTGTGTCGCGATGTCCTCCTCGATCTTCCTGCCGGACAGCAGCTCGTGGAACATGGGCGAACCAGGAAGAGGTCGCGGCCGGGACGGGCTGATGCCATGTACATTTGATTCTCCATTCAGCCGTCCGCCAGATAACATCTCGTAAAACAATGGCGACCGGTCCAGGTGCAGCGGCGGCGTGGAAGGTCCTCCGGCCGAGCGACTGCTGAGGCTGATCCTTCTGCCCGGTAGCGACTTAGGCATCCCGGGGTCACACGGATGCTGTGGACTCGGCAAGGGTGTGATCCGAGAGGCCAAAGCCTCCTCGTCGACTTGTTTGTCGTGGGGATCGAGAGGCTGGGACGAAGGACCCGGGTGTTGCCACGACTGCGGTTCAGCCGAGCACCGGTAGTTCAGATCGTTAACATCTCTGCCGTGGAGCACTTCACTAATATCAACACCACCACCCGAGCGGCACCACTCACGGCGCTGCCAGTACCGGTTGATATCCTCGTGTTCTTGCTGTAGCCGGTATTTGAGAGACAACCGGTCTTTTCTGTTCGCCTCGGCTTGCGCCGTCTCAATCTCTTCAAGGAGGCACTGATGCCACTTCGCCGCAGATGGATTTGATTCCTCCACACGAACCTGTCGGTGGCAGAGCTTACAACTGCGCTCGGGAGGGGCTGCGTCGGGGCCGTCACGGCAATGCCACCAACCCCCACGGATGCGCTGTAGGGTACTAGGCCAGGCGTCGTCGGGTTTATGGTATTCCTTGTTCCACGTATGCTTGGTTGGCCGAAGCTCTTGATCCCGTTGCTCTTCCCTCATATTATAAACCGAGGTTTCCACCTGCAGAAGAAGGTCCTTAAACTTTTCCAGTAGCGTGGTACCTCGCAGCGGGATAACATTTTTGGCTTCCAGGATGTGGAACCACTCTGGCACTGCAGTAACAACGGTATCGAAATTCGATGCGGGGGCGACGGGAGTTGGCTTTTCTGGCTTGCGCCAAACGTCCCCCTGATCGAACGCCTTCATTCTCTCGTCGACGACGAGTTGGGCGTTGCGAATAATAGCCTCGTGAGTCCGGTCGTCCTGTTCTTTTAGGTTGCCTCGGAGCCCGACCATTGCTGCCGCGATGCCTAGCTCTGTGTCTTGGTCCTCCATCATCTTCCTTCGGCTGGCTCGAGTCCGCTTTTGGTCAATCATGGTGGGTGCTCGGAGGTCAAGACCGAGCGCATGCGTGATATTAACACGGCTTCGCATGATGATCTTATTCAATTCTTCGCGCACTGCATCCTGCTCCTTCATCAGAAGTTCCTCCGCCTCAGCAACCATGGCGATAACTTTCGCTCGTTTTTTTCGAGTCTTTTCCTCCCCACGAGGCAGCGTGTTCGACATTGCCCGCTGGCGTTCGTAGCCCAACTGAGCAAGGTTCTTCTCATTGGACACGAAGACATCCTGGAGACGGTTCAGGTCAGCCCGGTGCTCCTCCATTATCTCGGCGAATACTTTGGTCTGCGCGGCATAACCATGGAGTTGTTGGTCAATGGTAGCCGAATCAAAGCCCTCGTAGATCGGCCGACTCTCTTCCAGCTCCCTCTCAAACTCGCGGTTGTGCTCCCCCATGTCGGGCGGTGGGAAGTGGAAAAACGCATGACGGTAGACTTTGACGGTGTTGTAAGGGTCAGAGGGGTCACCCTCGACCTGCTTGGCAAAGAGAGGATTGTCAAGGCCCAAAGAGTGTTCGACCAGTCCGCCTACGATGTGGGGAACTCCTCTCATATCAACTTTGGGGATTTCGGGCTGATGGCCAGCTGCAGGAACCGCGATGTCGGCCTGTGGCCCTTGCGGGACTCGAGATCGTTGCGGTGCTTGGTTTCCACTTTTGGCCTTCTTCCGAATCGTCCGGTGGCTGCTCTTCCTCCGCGCCCGGGCGGAATGTAAAACTCGATAGCATGTGGGGGCGGCGGGAGGTATAGAGGTCGTTGGGCGCCGCACTGAAGGCGTTGACACGCGGGCGATATCGCGCGGTGGCTCTTGAGAAACCGCATCATCGTCACCCTCGCTATCGGATTGTACAGCTTCATCTTCCTTGTCGGGTGCTGTGTCCTTATTTTGCGCTGCCTGGATCGTCTTGAGGGAAGTGAAGGCCGGCCGAGCGGCAGTTGTCAAATCGATTTCCGGGCGCAGCGATGCTGTGATGTCTTCCAAGCGTGGCTCCAGACAAGTGGTTTTCCCCTGGGGATTTGAAGTAGAAGCTCCCTTGTAAGGAGCGGTATCGTGATGATCCCGCACTGGATTGCTCTCCCGGAGCGTGAGTGATGCCAAATCCCTCGGTAGATGGGTGTCCGCCGGGAAAGCAGCTGGCGAGTAAGTGACCGTCATGGTGGCTGTTTCTGCCGACACTCCTTTGAAATAAGACCCATGAGGGCTATTCCCGCATTCAGACATGGCACCAAAATCGGGATTGTCGTGTTTGTCGGGTTTATCGGCCTCCAACTGCTTGTTATCCTGCGGATGACAGTCTGTTTGGGCCAGGTTTGCCCCAGGATATGTGCTCAATGCTGGGCCGGTGCCGATCGCGCGAATGACCATTTGAGAATTTTCGATAGTCAGGCGATATGCCAATGGAGCCATCAATGTCCCGTTCTGGCGCTCGATGTAAGCAGAGTTCTGTGTCTCTCGCAGGTCCTGGTCGATCTGCTCGCTCTGCTGGTTTTGCACAATCCTCTCAGAAGAAGGGGCGGCAAGCGTTGGCGCCGCCCTAACTTCCAAGGTCGTTTTGGAAAACATTGTGTATGGTCGTGGTATTGGAGTGAGGTTGGTGGAAAAGCGAAGCGATGATCGAAGTGAGAAGTGTCCAACTTCAAAGTTGTTCCCAGGAGGGGTTTCCCAGAATCATGGGGTCGCGGTCAAACCCGAAGGGCGGAAGCGAGCAACGGGTTTGGTGTAAGTCAAAAAGTTGGTTGGAAGTCAGTCGGATTGGGTGTGTGAGAGAAAGGCGCGTGTCTCGGGGTCTAAATTGGAGACCAAGAATGGGTTTGGCGTCTCGAAAACAAGAAGTAGAAAAAGTAGAATAAGTCGGATTGTTTGGGAGGCGAAAAGCTAAACCACCCAGCCGACTGAGAGCCGCTGGGAGCAGTCAACTCCAGCCGGACGCTGTGTAAACACCAACAAATATAATCCAACGTGCTAGTCCCAACGATGGAATCCAACGATTGCGGTGAGCAAAGGGCACGGGGATGGAAGACGGTGTCGAAAGAAAGGCACGATTCGTCGATTGATTAAGGTGGCAGGTGGGAGGTGGGAGGTAGGTACGATCGAGTGAAGTCGGAATCACTTCAATTAGGTAGAGCAGGTACCTACCAGGCAAAGAGAGGCGAGTTTTGACCAGCACTGTTTCCCCCACAACCGAGGTACGCCTGCTACAAGCAGGGAACACCCTGAACCTCAAGTTATTCCTGCTGCCTTTGCTCTCGTCCAATCCTGGCAATGATACACGGCGAGATGGTGGCCAATGCACTCCGACGACCGTGTGCTTTTTTATCTCTACCTTCTGCCGTGCACCCATCGCTAAATGCTAAATGCCCAATGCCCAGTGCTCAAGCAGACAACGGCCCAACCATGACACGCTCATTGCGTTTCCTTGTAAGGTACAGCTCTTCGGAAACGGCCGATTTATGTTGCTTCTTCTTGACAGCCTCGATGCTCGCAAACCGACCTCGGGCACCGTGCTTGAGCTTGGTGATCATGTCGGCCGCCTTGCCCTTGGTGATGTCTTCTGGCCCCAGTTCTTCCTTGGCGCCTCTCAGCTTATTCAGGTATTTGAGCTGCCCCTCGGTGGCTGGTGCCTTCCTCCAAGCCAATCTTGTCCCGATGATGTAGAAGGGGTAGTTCTCTTTGGCATAGCTGTCGCAGCCGTGAACGGCATCTGCAAAAAGTACGGTGCTTAGAACCTCACGGGGAGCTGCATAAGGGGATTTTGATACCCCTGCTGGCAGAGCCCTCACTTCCCATGCCTTAAACTTGGGTTGGCCGGGTCCTGAGTCGGGAACACTCTCCAGTTTCAGGTACGTTCCCTCGGGACCGTTGAGGATGAATTTGTCTGGGGTAATCTGGACCCAGGCATGCTGACTGATTGAGCGAATATGCTTCTCGCCCGACGTGTCGGCAATTAGATCCAGGACTGAGTCGTATTCGGTAAAGGTGACGTTGTACGAGTGCCCCGTCGACTCGGCCTCGGCCATGCGCTGCCGTACTTGAGTCTCCCTCGCTTTCTCTGCTTCTTTACGGTCGAATATCTCGAACATCTTGTCGGCCGATGCCTCGTTCACCAACTCGTCAGGGTCCAGCCCAAACAAGGTGGGGGTGGTGACGATGCCGGTCTCGAGGCCAGCTACCATGTCGATGATGTGGCAATCCTGCTTGCCAGAGTGTAACCTCATACCGCGGCCAATCATCTGGATCAAGAGGTTTCGCGATCGGGTTGGCCTCGCCAACACGATACAGTCGATGTTGGGGATGTCAGTCCCCTCGGTGAAGACACCGCAGTTGACGAGCACGGGGAACTCGCCCTTCTTGAAGGCGTCCAAGCGTTCAGCTCGGTCGCGCGTCGGCGTATCGCCTGTCACAAACCGAGCATCTACGCCATAATGGCGAAATCTCTGGGTCAAGGCGGAGACATGGTTCAGGTCGACACAGAACACCAGAGTGGATTTCCTCCCGGCGGCCTTGGCGAACCAAGCGCGGACGACGACGTCGTTGAGCTCGACGGTGTTAACCGCGTGGGAGAGGGCACTGGTATCGAACTCGCCACTCCCACTTTGGCCCTTTCGCTTGACTCTAGACAAGTCTGCCTTGCTCTCGACCGTGGTGAAAACGACATCGCTGAGCCACTTCTCGCTGATCATATCCACATAGTCCTTGTGGTATACTATCTCGTCGATGGCCGCGCCCAGCTGGAGCCCGTCGAAACGAGAAAATGTAGCCGACACGCCGACCAAATGCGGAGAGTCGGACTGCTTGTGCCTGAGACCGAGATGAGCCAGCACCTTCAAATAGCCTGGGGAAACGATGTGATGGGCCTCATCAACAAGAACCAGCTTGAATCGGTCAGGGTCAAACTTCAAAAGGCGGTCTCTAGAGATGATGCTCTGCAAGCTGGCCACGGTGATGTCGGCAGTGCCGGAAGCCGATAGCTTGCCGAGCTCGAGCTCGATGGTCTTATCCGGGTACGTGTTGGAGCAATGCCGGGCGGCTTGCTCGACGAGTTCTCGCCGGTGGGCTAGGATAAGGGTTTGGGTTGCCTTCCCCGACCGAGGCTTGACTCGACCAATAAGTTGAGTGAAGATGACCTGGCACCGTCAGCGATGTTTTATTTACTTTTTTCTCTTCGTTGACGCAGGACGAGTTTCCTACAGTCTTGCCGCTGCCAGTAGCCAGGGATACACCCAAACGCTTATGGCCATCCTCGATGGATTGCAAAACAGACTGGATACACTCTTCTTGGTATTTGCGCAAAACGAGAGCCTTGGGTTGGGGAGCCGGGGGTGGCTCGGGTGGCTCTGGCAGGTCGGGCAAGTCTGGCACTTGTTCATCAAGTCGTCGTTTCGAGTCGGATATCCCCCGATGTGAACATGGTTGGAATGGTGATCTCGCCGCCCTTCGCGGTACCCTCATTCTAAGAGTTAACGCAACTAATCGTTTCATGTTTGCCTTGAAATCGTTGCTCGCGATCGCTGATGTTTTGACTTTTGAAGTTTCACGACTAAGAGTGACGTTGGCACCAGCAGTCGCCAACTGGCAAAACAATCCCTGGAAGACCGACCAGAGACGCGATTGGCAGACACTTCTTTTTCGAGATCGGCTGGCACTGTACGCTTACGAATGTGGCCAGTGTTTCCATTCAATATTTTCATCTCGAACTCATCCGACGACTTGAGTCGTGCATGATTTAATGAAGCATGTGAGATCTCAACGTCTACATGGTAATCGAAAATGCATCTATAGATCTAGACATCCCGAACTCGAAACTTAGGCTTTTTATGGCCATGATAGTTGAGACTATTGACTTTTCTTGCCAATCTTTGCGCAGTTCACAACTTTTCTATCAATTGTCAAATACCAGCCGAAGATGGACTTGAATCAATCAAGCGACGATGGCGCTCAGGACGCCGGCCGCCTAAGGGAATCAGTGTCGATGGCTCTTAGGCAGTTGCAACAGCCACACCGAGCAAGGGCACACTCGAACGAAATTCCAGAAAGCGATGAAGGGGAGCTTGAGGATCGGGGAGAATGACGATAACACCGAAGATGAGGATGATAATGGAGAACATTATCGACGATATCAACAACCTTTGACGATCTCGAAGACCAATCTAAATATCCAAGACAATACTCAGGGATCCCCAGTTGACAGCCACGACAGCCCCCTCGCCCAGCGCCTCCGAAGCCCCCGCAACACTCGACCACTACTCCCTCTAAGCCCAAGCTGGACACGCCAACAGCCCGACCCATTCCTACCCCCTCCACGCCAACCAACCGCGGAACCTATTCTGCTTAAGAAGCTGCAGGTTGGCAGCCAGCGGTTCCGCCTTCCGAGTTCCCGATGCAAGCGCACCCTCTCCCAACCCCCTACCCCCCCTGCACAGCCGACGGCTATGCCGCCGCAACAACAACAGCAACAACAAAAGCAGCCCAGACTGA